TATATATATATATATATATATATATATATATATATATATATATATATATATATATATGTATATATGTATGTATACCCATATCCATGCAGACATCGAATGTAATGCAATAAATATGGTTGTTTTAAGCGGTGTCTTTGTATTAATCACTTCTGCGAACGAGGGCCGCACCAACATCATTTTGCAATATATTCATGGCCTTTCGTAACAGACGTTCGTTGTCATCATTCTAAAAGAGAAGAGAAAATTAAGGAATAATTAAAGTACATTTAACATAAATGTAAGTGAATTATTTATCGTACTTTCACATTCTGATGTATCCGATTGTTCTCATCTCTGGAAGTTTGGCGTTTAGATAATTCAAGATTTGTACGATACAACTCATATAAAACGAGTCCTGAAATATTAGAAGGACATTTGAAAAATTGCTTATTTTGAACTTTGAATATTGATAAGTTCTGCGTTGAAATTTCTTGAAAGTCAGAGAGGTTTGCATTTTATTTCAACATAAATTAGTCTGCTTAAATTGTTCGAAAGTGATCACAAGCTTCTAGGGAAAAAACAGGAATTTGAATTGGGTGTTTTATCATATATTTTTCATTTTTGACTGAGATTTATGGAAAAGTTAATATAAGTTATAATTACCCTTTTTTATAGAATCTCCAGAATCTAAAGTATCCAAGCTGGAAAGCACATCGTTACAGTATGCTTTTTTAATCCTAAGTTCCGCATCAGTGAGATCTGATATGTGGTGATACAAATTATGTTATATTTAGTTCGTTACAAGTTACATTTGATTGCAAAGTATATTGTAAAAATAATGAGAAGTTCCCGAATCATGTTCGAGGGAACTCGAATTATATAAGTAAAACAAATGATATGAGATCTTACCCTTCCATGTGAGTTCGGGAACTCTGCCAAAGTAAGAGATTATACGATACTTGGCGTCCATCATGATGTAATTACTACTTGGTATCAATTTGGATAATTTTATTTCTACAAATCTGAGAAATTCTTGAGGAGTATTATACTTAGCCTCGAGCACGAGTGCGTTCAGTCCTGAATGAATGCATTCAATCTGCAAATTTTTATATATATAATACTTTGTGTGTGTGTGTGTGTGTATACACATATATATATACATACATAAATTAAAATTTTATAATATATAAAATATACATATGTAAAATATAATATTACACATAAACTCTCTCTCTATATATTACATAAATATTACATATAACTTTTGTGTGTGTGTGTGTGTGCGCGCGCGCGTGTGTGCGTGCGTGTGTGTGTCTATATATAGAGTTCGGTCGAATACATGTAAAGCCGGCGTGATTCCTTATGAAAAGATAAAGAAAAATTATAGAATAAAATTTTTTGATTTTCAACTTAGTTTTGGAGAAAAAATCGAGTTTGAAAATACGCTGCTTACGTATGCTGTTACGGCTAAGCTACGGTTCGTCGAGTCAATTTATATAGATCTACATATTTTTACCTGTCTATAGTTCATATTAGTCTGACATTTGTGACAGGTCCAAGAGGATTCACGATTGAGGGGATTGCGAGGTAGTAGATATCCTGGGCAATTCTCCTTGGCACAGAGAAGCGCTCCAAGCCGGGATCCGAATTCCTGAGAAAAAACAGGATTGTATGTGAAAATCTTGATTGTGGAGATGTGTCGCGACGTTGACGTACCAGGGGATCGGAGCATCTACTGCAATTGCAGGAGAAATATTTAGTGATCCGCAGAAATCGTCTTCTGTTGCACGTGTCCCATAATAGATTGGTGTAACACATGGTGAGCTCTTCACCAGCCGCGATAGGGAGCGCCGCACTCACGTGTAGCCGTTGCTGGTCGTCGAAGTGATGCCTGGTGTTCGGCACGCAGCAATGATTCTGTAATGCGCCCAACGGATAAAGACCGCGTAGACTCACCGCACAATCCTCGTGCCGCGCAATCACGACCTCGAAGGAGTTCGTATTGAAGATTCCACAGATATGTCTCATGAATGCCAGTTGCTCGTCGCTAGGCATTTGAGACACGTTTCTCATCAGCATGTCGACCTTTGATAGAAATTTACAGGTATAGTTATTATATATGAAAAGAAAATATTGATTTTTTTTATATTATATCCATATCTCTCATCTTCTCGTGTTATTAGATTGTGCAATAAGTAATTTCAAATTTTTCAATCCAATTACCTCATAATTAGGATTTAGATTCGAGTGGCACTGTAAGACGGACAAGAATGTGCGTTGTTCCTTCGAGAGCGCGAGGGCGCGTATCAGCACTACCGTTAGCAAAAGATCCTGGGACCAAGTGGAGCCGCAGGTGGGCGCCCATTCTTGGAGGAACCGGCACTCGGCTTGTGCATGCGCCACCGAGTTCTCGCATTCTGTCGAGCAGATCGGCAGGCCGCAACCGTGATCGCATGGGAAGAGAGGACAGCCGCTCTTGTAGCAGACTACGCACATCGGCAGGTACTTGCTGTGGCATCGCGGTCCCAATAGCAACGGAGCGTCCGTGAAGATAAGCTCGCCGACTTGGATATCTCGTGTAGCAAACATACCGCGACCACCCAGAGAGGAATGGTCGATGGTCCATGAGCGGGGTTCATCTCGCAGAAGATCGTTCTTTTGCAGGTGGGACTGGAGCAACTTTTCCGTCTGTCGCGGCTCCATCGCGGATACGGCGCCTTGGAGTAGCTCGATATTTCCTTGTTGACACGTACTGATTTGTTGTGATGACAAACACGTCTTTTGTACCGTTTTATCAAGGCATCGAGCCAATTTTGTGCTTACTTAACTGCGGAGAATGAGAAAATACGATTTTGTAGCAATTCTCCTTCCTCACTTTCTCAAATATCTTCATGTAAATAATACTCACGGCAAGAAGTTTGATTTGGCAAAGAAACGCCGAATCAAGTTTAGTGAAATTTGTATTTAGTTTGTAGTTTAGTTAGTGTTTAAATTGATGTAACTTTAGTTACGTTAAAAAATCAGCTTTTAACGTTATAAATATTGAAAAACTTTTTGACTGTCGATCGCTATCACCAGTTGCCACGAATAGATATTATTCTAATTTTATTATATTTTTATATCCGTTATTATATTATATTCTGATCTTTGACTGGAATAATATCGGTAGATTCGATGTTAGATTCACAGATTTGTCCCCGAGTTTTGTAAGCCTTAATTTAGTTTAACGCCTCTTCACAGAGAGTTTAACGACTGTGCAAGCTCAAGCTCGAGTTCAATGGCAGGATTGCAAAGGAGCGTCATTGTAATGCGCCTGTATTTATAGTAAACCTTTGCCAGAAATGACGTATCATTAAAGCCCGTCTGTGTTAGAAGAATGACAGCTAGTTCAGCCTTCGCAATCCCTACGCGAGTGTAGTTATGAATGAATTACATAATCGGAATGTCGAAATTGATATCTCTAAGCGCACGTTTTGTCACGAAGTGCGTTACGAGATCAAAGACACGTGAGGGACACTGCTTTTGAACGCACGCTCGAGTGCGCTTTATAAATCTCGGCTTAAAATAGAATTATGTTTTGGCAGCGCATACTTTGGCGGTGAAAGCAGCAGGCCGACCTAGTTTACACACGGTTTCTACGTTTTATACGCGAGATATTCCTACTACCGGTTAGAATGTTTGTATACTACACTCGTCTATCGATTTAGCCTGTGAAGACGCAATATCGACCCTCTCTTGTCCGCCCATTCGTGACTTGAAATACGTTTTCGTGTACTCTGTGCCATGCAATTTATGCAAAGAATTGCATTGCACATGGTAATTTACAATAATTACAAAATAGTTGTTAACGATAGGAACAGTAGTAATAATGTTGATCAAAAAGCAAGTTGTCCTTTTCAATTCTCTCAGAATCGCGAGCTGCGATCTGCGAGGTGCGCTCGCGCGAAATTGTGAAAAATCCGCGAAACTTATTGTTTGTCGTGACGGACTTTATTTGTTGTAGAACAAAATCGCAACTATCGACATGGTACGGTTTCACGCAAGCGTATCCGGCATGTAATATGTATTTGTATGGTAGGCCGGTTGCTAAGACTACGGTTGAATCGTCGTCGACAGGCAGGCACGGGGGTATATCGTGAACGGCATCGCCGAGAACAGGCGTGCATACAACGTATATACACTGCTTATGCCGTGTGCGATATATGCGGCGTACTGTTGTGTACAGATCGTCGGAAGTGCCGTGTTCTACGACGACGACGACGACGACTCGCGCGTACTCCCTTTTTTTATTGCCCTCGCCGGTTACACAGATATGGAAAGGTAATAACATGGAAAGGGCGATCCCGTCGGATCCTTCCTCTCCCCCGGCTCGAGTCGAGTTCCGTTTTTCAGTCATCTTTCAGGAGCCGTAGTCGTGCGTCGTCGTTCTTCCGTTGTAGTACCGTATCAAGTGCAATTAATTTCTCACTCGCGCTGTCTTCCTATCGGCGGCGCTTTGGCTAACAATAATGCAGCATTCGAGATCCGCGAGGAGGGTCACGGACGAGCGTTGGCACAGTGACGTGACTTGAAACCGTATCGCTCTAATTAAGTTGAGATTTTGTATCGTTACCGAGCGAGGGTTGTAGCTGATCTACGAAATCGAGATCTCGTTCGACCTAGAACTTATTTATATATACATATATATGTACACATTGCATACACACACAGAGACATACAAGCACATATGCACTTGGGAAATACACACATGCCTGTATTCTGGCAGAGAATCCTGGCAGAGAATTCTATTTTTATTCTTTGCTTATTAAGTCGATATATACCTAATTATAATTGTTAAGTCTTTTATGTATCTTTTATTCTTTCTTCTACGATAATAGGTATATATCACGCGAGGAAATGTGAGGAGGAAGTGGTATAATTTTATCGAATCCAGCGAAATTGTATTTCAAATTTAGCCTAATTTTATTTTACAAAACAACAACTTGAAGTTAACGAAGAAAGAATCTCTTATGCTTTTAAATATAAATTTATAATTTGATTTTTTTAAATCTCGAGATTCTCGGTGCACCTTACAATTAATATTATTCATGCGATTGTTGCATCGCCTCACGTGAGACCGCTGCTTGCACATCGTTCGTTTACATAGTCTAACAGCCTTATGTGGATTTCCCAATCACGCGTGTTGCACACGTGTTGTACACATATACAGACTTGTATCCAGGCACGTGTACGTATACGGTAAACACGTTACTGGCGATAAATCGACATGTATGTATGTGCATATATATATATCATACTGTAATCATGCTGTAAAGGTATGTAAGGCTACTTAGACTGGCTTATAAGTGGAGTTACTGTCCGCCACGTGCAAGGAGCGCGTGCGAAGGTATTTTTATTCTAATGATACTGTCGACCACGATAACGGTATTTGCGCTAGGATCCGATTGCAGCGGAGACCCCTGCATGTACGGAATTTGTTTGGATAACGAGAATAGGTATATATAAGTGATTTCGTTCATGAAGCGCGCATATGTATCTCGACGATTGAACGATAAAGATTCTAACTCAATCAAATGTGCAATCGTTTCCGCTTCTGCGAAATTCCACGACGGCGACAAGTAGCACCTACTCCTGTTATTGCATCGACGGTTACACGGGGATCAATTGTGAGATTAATTGGGACGAGTGCTGGTCAGATCCTTGTCTTAACGGTGGTACGTGCAACGACGGCATCGCCTCGTACAATTGCACATGTATCGAGGGTTTCATAGGTAATTCATTTTTCATCTCTTTGCTTATTATTAATTTTCTCTTAGAGTCAATTAAAAATAGAGAAATAGACGCGAGTGCGCGTCTATATAGATATAATTAGGTATTATTAGAATTATAAGATTGTGCAATGAATAAGTGACGTTATTTTTGTTAGGTGTAAATTGCGAGCAAAGGTACAGCGAGTGTTCAAACTACCCATGCCTCAACAATGGCACCTGCGTTGATTACGATGGTTTCACGTGTCAATGCCCGGACGGATACTCAGGTATTTGGAAACATTGAGCTTTATCCGATCAATTCTCACAGTATCATCATTCACGGTATTCTTTCTTTTCTAGGAGACTATTGCGAGATCGATGCCTCGGTCTGCAACGAGACGATATGCAAGAATTCGGGTGAGTGCGTCGAGGGACCCGGATTCTCGTTCTTTTGTCGTTGTCACGAGGGTAAGAGATTCGATTATATTCCGTTTATGTAAAATTATCCTTCTATCTTTTTTTTGTATATATCTTTTTCTACTTATGATTTAAACAGGATGGACCGGCATCCTCTGTGACGTGGACGTCGACGAGTGTCTTACATCACCATGCAAGAACGGTGGTCTTTGCATTAATGTACCGGCTTCCTATACTTGCGCTTGTCTATTCGGTAAGTGGATCACTTATAATTTGTATAAGTGGATGACTGGTAAACTGACCATAGGTTTCTCTTTCTAAAAATAAAGACATCTATGAAGCGAGTTATAGATAGCAATTCAATCAAGATGATTGAAATAATATACTCAAACAGACAAAGACATCTTAAAGATGTCTCTAAAACATCGTATTTTCTTTAGACATTTAAAAAAATACAACTTCTTTTAGATGTCCTTTAGAGGTTTATACTGTCTAAGGATATTATTTCAATCATTTTGATTAAATTGCTATAACTCGCTTTATGGACATTGCTTTTAGAAAGAGAAGCTATAATTTTTTAGTTTTTAGAAGGAATCTATAATTAGCTGTTTAAATGTAAATAATATTAAGTATATATTATATTAGCACTTAATATTATATATTTTATATTATATATTATATATTATATATTATATATTATATATTATATATTATATATTATATATTATATATTATATGTTATATATTATATATTATATATTATATATTATATATTATATATTATATATTATATATTATATATTATATATTATATATTATATATTATATATTATATATTATATATTATATATTATATATTATATATTATATATTATATATTATATATTATATATTATATATTATATATTATATATTATATATTATATATTATATATTATATATTATATATTATATATTATATATTATATATTATATATTATATATTATATATTATATATTATATATTATATATTATATATTATATATTATATATTATATATTATATATTATATATTATATATTATATATTATATATTATATATTATATATTATATATTATATATTATATATTATATATTATATATTATATATTATATATTATATATTATATATTATATATTATATATTATATATTATATATTATATATTATATATTATATATTATATATTATATATTATATATTATATATTATATATTATATATTATATATTATATATTATATATTATATATTATATATTATATATTATATATTAATATTATATATTATATATTATATATTTTAATATATATTATGCTATAATATTTATTATACTGATGATAATTATTAGTAATTAAGGGTTAGTATTATAAAATTATCGACTAAAATAACCAATCACCCAATACAGTCTCACATTATTTCTGTTGAAGGTTTTACCGGGAAGGATTGCGACAAGGCGATCGTCCCGTGCGACGAGAATCCGTGCCAAAACGGAGCGGTATGTCTGCTGGAGGACGAGCGTCCAGTTTGTTACTGCGTCCCAGATTATCACGGTGCTCTGTGCGAGCTGAAGTACGATGATTGCGAGTCGAAATTCGCACACTGTGACAACGGCGGCACTTGCGTCGACGGTGTCAACAGCTTCACTTGCACATGCTCGCCTGGATACGGTGGGCCTATGTGTGAGTACGGCTTCCCCACGAGCACGAGTTCCGTTGAAGCAGAAGAGACGTTCGATGAGGGAACGAGTTTAAGTAAAACTACGATCTCCGTCACTAAAGACTCGACTTCGGTGTTTCTGTCGTCTACATCACCTTCCAGCTTCACCACTTACTCAACGACTTCGAGACCAAGTATATTACCTCACACGAGGAAGTCTACAGTTACGGAGAAGACAACTCCGACGTTAGCGTACGAAGACGGAGGTCCCCTCAGTGCTAGTAGCGCGGAAACTACTGCTGCTTTGCCGACCGACGTTCCTTCGACGGGCTTCACGGGTCAAGATGATACATCAGAGCTTATAACGTCTGCCGCTACTGACGGCTACACTCATGTAACTGAAACGAAGAGCACCGAGGTTTATCTTCCGACCGGGAGATCGATTCATGATAGTGAAGTCACCAAGGAACCCGGTGACTACGATCAGACGACGATGTACTCAGTATTCTCCGATAGAACAGATGAAGATGCAACGCGTGCAACGGAATACACGACAAGTTCCAGGCAAGCAGAGAATATATTGTGTTCTTTATTTAGAACAATGGGATTGTATTATCGAGGCGATTTCCAAGGTCTACATCTAGTTTCTTCTCTTTGCCTCTTTGCCAATTGATCTGTCGAGACTCGTAACTGTGATGGTGCCGTTTAGTCTTAGGACTGTCAATTTCATAAGACCTGTGAATCTCTCTCTAATTTCCGAAAAGTTCTTATTGAAATTATAACATTCTATCGTTTTAATTATAATAACATAAATGGATTGGAGTATTGTAAATAGAAACATAATATTATATAGAAATAACGTATAATAAGAACTTTTCACAAAATTAGAGGGAGTTCCGCAAGTTTCGTAAAGTTTGAAAGTCCTAAGGTTGATTGGCAATCAAATGTTCGAAAGATGAGCGGGAAAAATAATAGGAAGAAAGTAGGTAAAATCACTTTGGAAATGCAAGTAATTCCGAGCATTGATTTAGGATATATCGAGATACCGTAATTATTATAATCGAAATTATCGTATTTGAATAATTTTTACAGTATATAAGTATATATATAAATATTTAAACTATAATTATTATTTTTAAATTACAATTATTACTTAAATTATAATTGTGTGACTTCCTTTTTTTATTTAGCCGTCGACCTACAACAATCGATATAGATGAAGGCCAAAAAGATGAAAAATCGACTGTGACCAGCATCATCACGGACCATGGTACCGACGTAACATTCCTCGTCAATGCGACATTCCGCTACACAACAGAATCCGCGCAGAACAGAAGCATCGATCTCGGAACCACGATCACGGATTCGCCCAAAACTGTCCTACCTCTAATCACTTCCTCATCGACACTGCCATCGATAACTTCCACCGAGAAGTTCGAAACGACGATATCTTCCGCATTAACGCCCACCGGTGTATCCTCGTTGAGCCCCGTTACCGGCATCGAAGCTAGTACCACGGAAACTGGCACTTGCCACGGAACTCTGTGTTCCACTTCTACCACTACGTTGAGCCCGCGCAATGTCACAGAAGTGAGTAACTGATGCAGTGATAGTTGAGAAAATAAGTATATTATTTGTTATCTAATAAAATATTAATTAATACATCAATGTTATAATTTCCCGCTCAACAATGTAATGTATAATGTAACATATGTTGTACGTAACAGTTACATATCGTTGAGTGGGAAATTATAATATTGTCGTAGCGTTACCGTTAATTGATGTTTATTGGCTATTAATAAACGATTATAATTGCGAAAAAATCAAAAACTCTACGAAACACTTCATACTATTTCAAAAATATTAAATGATGTATTCATTATTATTGTAGTACGTTGAAGGCTGCAAGACAGACTCAACTGTTACACAGGCGGCCTTCAATGGCAAATCTTTTGCCAGACAACGCGTTGAGGTAATAATCACTGATCAGAAGAGCGCTACGCTGCGAATTTACGTCAAACTCAAGACGGCTTTCAAGAACGGGATCATATTACACGTTTACTTCGACAACGAGAGGTATTCTCTGGTGTATTTGGAGCTCGGGTCGTTAAAGTTTCAATTTTCCTGTGGTCTAGAAACAATGTTACTTGGCGAGATCGATGCCGCTATCGACAATGGATTTGAAGTGGGCATTGATATGAGGTATTTATATAAATCTTCATTTTCTTCAACGAGAGAGAGAGGGAAAGAATGCATAAATAGATAAATAAATAAATATATATTTATACTTACGTATTATATATATATATATATATATATATATATATATATATATTCTCATACAAAATTTAAAAATGTGTTGCGTACGTATATTTGTATATTATTAGTTTTTGAATGTAACTTAGATGCGCGGATTGCTTTTCACGTAAAAATATTAATAAAGATGTTATATTTTCTCCTTGCAGTTTTCAATATATTGCCAACGATGAAAATGAAAAGTGTTTCGCCAAGTTACTGGTCAATGGCACTATGGCAGTGACCGGCGAGCAAATACTGCCACAACGAGGGATGGTCCCGAAATATGCTAATCTATACATAGGAGGCATCCCGTTAACGTTCTCACAGTACTTTCCCCACGTGGCTATGGGATTCATTGGTTGCATGGATTCTCTAAAGGTACGTCTTTAGCAAAATATTACATTTAGAATAAAACTTGATTTAATTTTTTATTTTTATTAAAGATAGTTCGAAATTATCTTGAATTTTTGATGTAATCACATTGCGATACGAGTACTAACGATATGATTATTATAATTGCAGGTGAATGACATTTCACGACATTTCATTCACGACTCCACAGAAACTTTTCAGATCGAGGAGTGCACGTCGTTCTTGTGCTTGTCTAACCCGTGTCAGAACTTCGGAGCGTGCGAAGAGAGCGATGGTCGAATTCGCTGCAAATGCATAGCCGGGTAAGAAATTCATTATCCAGCAATTGAAACCATTAGAAACTTTCTACTGATTTTTCTAACTTACATCCTTAAATACGCTTGATAAAGAAGAATAGTAAAGAGAAACAGAGCTCAGATAGCAGAGAATTCAAAAAGAATTTAGTCGTATGTCATCAATTCAGAGTTCATTTTCAGATGCAAAAAGAATTTTTCAGAATTTAGTTCAATGAAATGAATTCTTTTTGCATCTGAAAATGAACTCTGAATTGGTGACATACGACTGAATTTTTTAAAAATTCTTTTAGAATTCTCTGCACTATCTGAGTTTTGTTTCTCTTTACTGTTCTCTTTATCTGGGAGTAGAATTGTGAAATTGAGTAATTTTTGTATAAATGTTCTCTTTTTAATTTATTCTACTTATATATGTATTTAATATAATTTATATGAGAGAAATTAAATATATTTTAAGTATAATACATAAATTTTATATATATATTTTTTTTATGGTAATATAAAAATCAATATTAAACATTAATTACAGTTACACCGGGCCTTTATGCGAACATTCGGCGTGCAACGATAATCCTTGCTCGATGGGCGCGACGTGCGTAAGCTCACCGGGAACCGGCTTTATTTGTGTCTGCCCACTCGGCAGTCACGGGCTTTTCTGCGAAGAAGGTAATAAACTAACGCGACGCTCTTAATGGGCTGTCTGTAAGATAGTTTTACAGACCCATAATGCGTCAAGTCAACGATAAAATTACAAAGTTACTTGTTTTCAGATGCTATCCTGGTACGACCGGCATTCTCGGTCCTCGTTCCCGGCTTCGCGTCGTACATCGCTTATGGCGTGCCGACTTCAATAAAGGACACAATGGAGCTGAAACTGCGACTTATTCCTCGCACATTCGACCAGATCTCGCTGATAGCGTACTTCGGACAGCGCGGCTTGCGCCGCGACGCGTCGGATCATCTCTCGATAACGTTTGTTCGCGGCTATATCATGCTCACGTGGGATTTGGGTTCTGGTGAATATAATCATCGTCTGGCAGAACAGAATCGCTGTCTGAACCGGTAAGCTTCACTGTTGTGTCTTCTTGGATTACAGGAGTACGAAGAATCTTCACCAGCGACTCGTTAAGTTCTACGAATGTACTGGGGTCGGCCGGTAAGAGTAAAACGTATACGGTTCGAATTGGAAGAAGAGGTAAGGAAGCATGGCTCGCCGTGGAGGGTATGGGCAACGTGAGCGGCCAGGCGGTAGGATCTATGACTCAGCTGGACGTATCGCCCGTTCTCTATATCGGTATGTTGGCACGTAGAAATACTTGGCATAATTTCAGAGACCTAAACATTATCTCTTGTCGCGTATTTTGATGTAGATACTAAATATAGATATTTTTGCCAGTCGCATATGATGTTGATCGCATTCTTGATATTTTAGTAAATAACTGTCAGAATTAGACCTCTTTTCGTTTAATTTTTTTTAATTAGTTCCTTAAATATTAGATTGATTCAAAGATTCTTTTCTATAAACACTGAATAAGTATTGATATGAACAAAACATTTTTCAAATAGAGAATATATATATTCTTTATGAGAAAAGATTGCTGTCTCAATTTAAAATGAGATAAAAGAAAATAATAAAATTAAATAAATTAAATAAATTTAAATAAAAGTAAATAAAAGAAAATTAATAAGGTTAAATTAAATAAAAGAAAGAGACACGCCAAAATGAAATTACAAAATTTCCGTAGGTGGATACAAGTCAAAGAACTTTGAGACGTTGCCCCACGATCTGCCTCTGCACACCGGTTTTTCCGGATGCATATTTGACGTCGAATTGCGTACGGATACCTCGATCCTTCCTTTAACCGGCTCCAGTCCCGCTACCGGTCGCGGCGTGGGCGAGTGCAGTCGTAACGAATGCATTCGCCACTCGTGCAAAAACGGTGCCGTGTGCTTGCATCACGGCGCATCGTACAGGTGAGAATATAATGTGCAAAAATGCGCGTATAATAACATACGTTTTTCATGCGTCACCCACAACGACTTGTCAATCTTTCAGTTGTATTTGTACAAAAGAGTGGGTCGGGCCCGATTGCTCTATTCCAGTCTGAATCACCGTTGGAGAACGGTCAGCCGCGTACTTTGGAATTTTCTGCCAGTTATACTAATTAGCGCGAAGGAAGAAACAATCGATTGCATCGACGTTAAGAGACAATGTTATATTAACGGTGAATATGTTATTCTTACAAATTTTATATTATCATAGTCGTGTTCTTTGTAACAACCTTAAAATAGATTCAGCTTACATAGGGCACGTCGTTCTTCGGTTGCGAAGTAGCAGAGTGCGAGTTCAGATATACAAACAACATCGCTGCCGAGAGACGCGCTTGCAGATCATGCTTGTTGTACTCATGACACCACTCCACATTGCCCCAATGAGAGATCTGTACGAGGGAACTCGATAAGAGCCAGATCATGTCATGAACAACAGGACAGAGCACAGAGGCTACTATCTTTAGAATCTAATATCTTTACTTTTATCAAGCTAAGAAAAAAAAATCAGAGTATAAGACGGTCCTGGTCCCTCGCTGCGAAACTCTTCAACTCTTGAAAGCGAAAAAATACACATTAAAAATCCTTGAAGATACATTGAAATATGTTTGCAAAATAATACAATCGATCGAATAGAACCGTAAAATAGTTCAGACATTTTACTTTTATTCTAACAATCACTAAATATTCATAAAATTAACGTGTCAAAATCATGAAAAAAGTAGGTTAAAAAAGAAAAATTGCATGTCGCATTAATTTTATAGTTATTTATTGACTGTTCGAATAAAAGTAAAGTATTGGAAATATCTTTTTATTTCAAACATTTTATAAGAATTTTTAACGTGTATTATCTCACTTTTGCCGTCATCAATGAAGAGCTCCACGGCGAAGAGCCAGAAGCCTTAAACTGAATCATATTGTATACCTGATATTCCTCCTCCAGTCGTGACAAACTCACAGCTTCCGGGATATTGATTGTTCTCGCAGCTGTGGCAAGGGTCAAAAGAACAGATTTCAATCCTTCTACCGCGTATACAAGACCTGTACAAGTGCAATTAGTGCAGTTAGTATAAAAAACTAGAATGTTTCTGTCTCTCCTTGTAACGTTGAATTATTACCGTAAATACTTTTGAAATTGTGCGACATTAAGTGTCTCGTTAACGTGACCTTTGTTTCTAACGATACAGCAGGTGCCTCTATATTCTGTGTTCCTGCAATTTTCACATCATACTGCTTGCAAAACCAACGGACTATAGGCTCCCATTTTTCGATCTGTAACTTATACAGCTCGTCTGCCTCCTAAAATCATAAATCATTATCATAATCCAGATAGTGTATAGCTATATTGCAGCTAAAGCCATGGAGATTTATACAAACTCTTTCTTACACTGGAATAAAATAACACTGTATCCATTTCTAAACAGTTCACTATGTGATTGACCAGGTCTGTCTTGGTACGTTTTTGTGGGTTATCCAGCACGGTGTTGCACAAGGCTGTCTGCAATAGAAGAAACAAAAGGTATGTTAATTATATATTGATTTGAACTAAAGATTGAGGGACTGTCTCATGTTCAATCATACCGATCATACCAAGTGCATACTGCCTCGGTCAATGATCTCCTTCTGCGCGTCCCATTCAGCAGCCACTGCTAAGGCTAAAGGTTTGCTATTCACTTCAAATATCCTACCCTGCGGCGTCTTCAGCTTCCTCTGATCCAGCATAATCTCAAACTTGCCACCACTTGAAAGTATATTTGTCCTTCTATAAAATCGTTTCACAGTGGCTACAAGTGTCAAAGTTTTATATTTCATCAGCACGCTAATATAGAGTACATTTAACATATCATATAGGATTTATTAAAGACATATTAGATCTTGGAAAACAAAATAAAAATATCTAATCTAATTTAATCTTAATGCTAAACATAATTAATTTAATCTTAAGCAAAATATATGTGATTACCCATATTTCTTCTTGCCAAAGTAGTAGTTTGTATAAATTTTATATATTTAAAATTATATATTTCTCTGACTAGAATATTACAAGTTTGAAGCATGGTAATTATTATTGTTGTCAATCACGAGATTTTCTTAGGTTATATTTCGATAAACAATGCTTCCAATCCTTCCAACCTTCAGTTCTAGGACGGTATTTGTAGGTTAAGGGTCTGCTGGAATTATAATGGAGACCTCTCGCGGGAAGCCGCGAGATGTTCTTCTCTCTCACAGGTAGACAAAGAGAGAGATTGAAAATATATCCTTCTCTCTCGCAGGATTTTGACAAAACCGCAGTGGCCACTCATGGCCACTCCGTTTAGAGTAACTCCAAGCTCGAATAAAAGTGGAACCTATGATCTCTCTTCTTCTTCTCTTTATTATTTCAATTATTCTATACAGCACAAATTTAATGAACTTTTTGCGCTACACAGATATATGGGGTTGCGAAAAACGTTTTTACCGACACTCAGTAATGTAAGTTTCATAACGAAGACTTCGGAACAAATTTTATAAACATAACTTTTCTAAAGCAAATATGCGATTCTTAGACCCGTTATTTTTGTAAAATTAGTTTTATGAAATTACATATATATCGAAGAATCGCATATTTGATTTAGAAGTTATTTTTAAAATTTGTATATATAGTCTATATTCACAAACTTAACAAATTTGTGCTGTCTTTGATTTCCTTTGCTGTCTTGCACTTCCTTGATTCTCACACAATTTAAAGAGAAATAAACATAAGATAAAATGAAAGGATAATGTATTGCCAATTGATGGCTGTATAAAATACGAAATATATTTACTTTTGTTGCATAACATATAATTTAGATAAGTATACATATCTTGTAGGTGTTACATAACGTGTATTATAAGAGTGTACACATACCGATTTTAATATCGTTACATTCCTTAACTCTATGGTCACCATAGAGTCTAATCGAGAGTGTCTAGTCGGACGTGCTATCACATCCAAACACGATGTACTCAACTAGACACTTTTTTCAGCAACTTTAGAGCTAGGGAGTGGGGTGGCACTAATGCCGGTCTGTGTATAGCGAATATAAAAGATTACAGTTTATAGTTTAATAAAAATATATACAGAGAATAAGAAGGCTAGTCGATGTAACATCTCAACGTTTTTCAAATCCTATCTATTAAGAAGTTACTTGCGTCCGCGCGTTTCTCTCTACAGTATATACATTCTACGTTTATAAATCATATTAACACAATTGTCAAAAGATAACATTATTATTGTTCGTTACGCGTGGGGGATTTCGTTTCGTGTCGTTTTTTCGCTCAATATCAGCGCTACAAGAGTTCTCTAGAGAAGAAATCTTTTTATATCCTTTTTAACGCGATAAAAAACGTTTCAAAAAATGATAATTCTATCAATAAGAGATTTACTAAAATAAATGTACGGACATCTCTCACAGGATCGGGGTGTAAAAAAGAAGAAGGTAAAATCCCGAAAAGAACGAACTTAAAGTCAATTTCAAATTGTATACTAATTAAAAATGAACGAGATGAGTGAGAGATAGTGTCGCGAGATTCTTTGAAACTTCATGTGTTCCCGTGCGCGATACAAATTCGATCGCTTCACATTAACTTAAAAATATATTACAGACATAAACACTGTCATACCGACAGTGTCGGCAAAAAGATCTCTGCTCGATCGAGAGAATGTATCCGATAAAAAGATTTTACAAGAATAAAAAGTTTTCTACGCTGGTTAATGCGCTATAAAACACGATACAGAATGATATATTTATATCTCGATTCCTCACGCTTATTAACGCGCGGCTGTTGATAAGCAGTAGCGGAAATCACATTTCCGCACAGAAAAATACATATCGATATGTATACATGTGCATGTGCCTCGAAGATTACATTTTTATGAATGTTGTTTAACGTAAGAAAACAATTGATTACTTTTGATCAAAATTATCCCGGCGCTAGCTTGTCCACGTTACTATATCTACGCTTCCTTAATAGTAACTACCTTATGTATATGTATAATGTCTATTGTGACATTACGAATAAACGCTTTTGTGGAAGCACCCTGAATCACTGAATAACAGTCGGAGGCCCATGTTCTCGATTCAGCGACACGTTTAATCCGAAACGTGACCATTTAAATTGGACTTTTTATTATATAACTCATTATGTATATGTATATATATATATATATATATATATATATATATATATATATATATATATATATATATACACGAGAAAAAAGTACACGTTCCAAGTAAACGTGAGATGGAAATCGAATTGCCACGCTTTGGCGTCAGGAATACGAGAAAAATGGAGAATGCTAACGGGAGAACACGGGCCAAGATCGATTTATTGTCGGTGGTCGCGAGCGAACGGCGAACGCAACCTCATCTGGCGTGTATTCGCTCGTCCTTACGCATTTTTAATCGCTATTTCTAAGTTTGATCGGAAGGACGATAAGTACTCCTCGCTCTTTATAAAAGAAAAAAATGCCGACGTGTGACGCTATCGACGGTCTCTTCTACGTTCTCTCCCGCTTTCGATACTACATGTGCGTTTGGACTAGGTTCGATCGTCGTGTTGTGGCAGTCCACCACGACTCAGACACGGCCTCTCGTCGTTCGCCAACGTGAACACGTCCGCCTCTCAGACGTAGCTCTCGTCGTCGACGACGGATCTCCCGTGACCCAGATGCCTCGTGGTGATGGGTGCACGAGGTTGCGGCGGCGGACGGTACGGTGGTGGCGGAGGCAAAGACCTGGACCTGCCCGCCACTTTGTGCCGGTCCTCCAAGTTCATGTGCACCGGTGGCAGATGTCTGAGTCGCGGCGGCAATGGCGGTGGCGTCTCCGGCCACGTTCTCTCCTCCTCCTCCTCCTCCTCGTCCTCACTGGGCTCGTAGAGCGATAAATCGATCGGCTCGGCCATCACGAAAGGCCACGTGTCGATTCGCTCGCTGGATCCGTACAGATCGCCCGTTCGATCCCTATTGATCGTGGCGTACGCGTTGTTGTCGTCGGATTCGTTGTAACGCTCGCTGGCGGCGCCGCGCGTTGTCGCCGACTCCTTCTTTGCGTATAGCTCGTTCTTCGGTTTTTTGTAGAACTCACTACTGCTGGAACGGTAATTGCCATTCTGCGACAAGTCCCCGGTGCTTGTGTACTTGTCCTCGGACTTAATCTTCTTTTTGAACTCGCCGAAACGTTCCTTCTTTTTAAATTCATAACGGGGCACGTTGCACAGAGGCGACGTGTCGCCCGACAGATCTTGCTTGGAGTTGTGGATCGGGCATCTCTTAGTCCGCTCCCCGTGGATGTCCTGCTGCTGCGGGCTTCGATAAAGATCCTTGCAGTTTTCCACGTTCTCCTTCATTGAGTCCTGTCTGAGATACTCTTGGCCGTACAGGTCCTTGTCGTCGAATCTGTCCTTCCTGTGCTCATGCTCGTCCAGTTTCGTCCTGGGCGTTCTTTTCAGTTGAGCCCGCAACCAGTCCTGTCTTTGAAAGTTAGGATTCGGACACACGCCACCAGCGGTCTTCTCCTCCCTGAAATTGTGTTCTATGCTACTCGAATGATGGCCACCAGACGCGTAGCCGTTTATCCGTTCGTCCCATCCAGCGTAAACCCGAGTGTAGGTTTTGTTGTTGGACTTCTCCTCTTTCGCGAGGGGCTTGTCGAAAGCCGATGATGGCGCATTCACTGCCGAATCCTCCGAGCCTACCGGCGATTCCGGGAGGAACAGCTGGCAATCCGACAATGTCAAGCCGGAATCTCTCGAGAGCGTCATAGGATCTCTGCGCGGGTGCTCCGTCAGGTCGAGGCTGTCCAAGGAAAGTCCGCCTGCTGCGAGAAAATAATCTTGTCATTATCATCTTAACGATGATAAGGCAATTATCATCTTTTTTGTAATATAGACGAAACATATATTATTGATTCAAATATTATTTCATTTAAATCAGTTGAGTTAATTAAATATAATCGATAAAAATAAAAATTTATTATTTAATAAAATATAATTTTATTAAGGATTATATTAAAATATAATTTTATTAAGGATTATATTAAAATATAATTTTATTAAGGATTTTATTAAGGATTGTTTCCTTAAATAAAATATAATTTTATTTAAGGAAACAACTATATAAAATAACATTTAAATATAGCGAGAATACATAAGAGATATATTATTATTTATAGAAAGTATGATAGTAATTATATTAATAATTAATGCGTAAACGTGTTAATTAATTAAAAAATTAATACTTACAGTGAAGACTATCAGTGCTTTCTTCGGCTCCGCTGTCACTGCGTTCTTCTCCGAGTAGCTGCGTGACGCCGGCACCAAACAGATCCTCGCAATGACGGATAAGCATCTCCGTGATTGTCGGGATCGCCCTGCTCTGATTCACCGATGGATTCGGCGACCAAAGTAGACTCGGACCACAGCAGACGCCGAGATTACTAGCGCACATGAGATTACGCTTCGATCGCCTCGCCACATGATGCAGCACGCAGATCAAATGCGAGAGTAACGTGTGGTTCGCCTTCGGCAGTTTGTCAAGAATACTGAAATTCGATTCTTGGTCAACTCACGACGAATGAAGCAAGTATACGCGACGGAAGTAACTTTATTTTGAAATATAGTTTATTACTATTACTTTGATTACTAGTTGATTATATTATTACTCTGTACTATTATTTAATATACTAATTACTATTACTAGTTGATTATATCATTATTCTGTACTATTATTTAATATACTACTATATTATTATTCTGTACTATTATTTAATATACTACTATATTATTATATTGTATTACCACCATTAATTGATTACTTACTTCTTCATAGTTTGCACAGGATGCTGCGTTTCCAAGCTCTCCATCCAAAGAGGAAATAGGTGGGACGTCAGAAGGGGATCCGGCAAAGATCTCAAGAAATCCTTCAGCAAGGCCGCCACCGCTATGATCGGCGCATTCTCGAGACAGTTGGGATCACCAGTGGACTCTAACTGATCCCGTAACTCTCTGACAATTCGAACGTTCGCAGACTTGCGGAAGATACCTTGTGTGAACGGGCCTTTTGCGAACAACTGCTGCAGCATCACCAACACTGGCTTAGGCAGACCGTTGTCGTCCAACTTGGACAGATTCACGCCGAAGAGGCTCGGATTCAGCGACAGGGACCGTCGCAACAGGTCGGTTATCTTAGACCGGTTGTTCTTCTTCACGGGCGACTTCATTACTGGCCTGAGGATGAAGTGACAGGTGTTGTGGACACTTTTGTTGCAGTGCTCCAGGTCGAAGCCCTCCTCTGCCGACAGAATATGTCGTAGGCTCGACATCTTGACGGCGAACGGCCGCTCGTGGCCTATCAGTGGATACGGCGCCTCGTCCGCGGCGGTCTTGGCCCACAGCTGGAAGTGCCCTTGAAGATCCAACAACGGCATCGCCAGATTCAGGCAAGCTGCCGCAGTCATCTCGGAACCCACCATGATCGACTTGTACTGTGAAGCGTGAAACAGCACGTATTATACTCTCTCTTTCTCTCTCTTCCTTTGCCCTCGGTCGCGTTACAAAAGACTGAGCAATTGACGCGTGATTCGTCGGAACCTGTTTACCGACAATAGAAAGCGTTTATCTAACGGAAATTCACTCGCGATCCTAGTGTTGTCGCGTGAGCGCTGCTTATATGTGTCTATACAACGTCGATAAATTATGAGCTGGTGACTGAAGCAACGCCCAGGGTACAATGCGCGAGGCTGGTGGACGCGGCGATTCTAACTCGACATTGACGTTCGCGATATAAAAGAGTTCTCTCGGACGAGAAGAGAGAATGCTTCTCCTCCAGGAAGGTCGAGCGCCGCGCGATCGAGAAGGCCTCGCGGAACGAGAATGTCCGAAGAATGGATCGCCTTCGCGCAATAGAGAAGGCACGATCGAGCGTATGTGTCGCGGTGTGCGAAAAGCAGGGGCGCGCGGCACTTACGTGTTCCGTGTTCGTGTCGCTGTCGTGGTATAGGACTCGGATGCTCGTGTGTGGCGGCTCCTTCATGCTTTCCTCTCGCACGAGCTCGGTGAGACGTCCCCACCAGAGATCCCGCGCCGCTGCAGTCCTGCCGAGATAAGATAAACGATGACAATAATAATCAAACCGTTGTAGGATGTTCGAGATTTCGATATTCGATTGAGAGATATCGTGTGTAAAAACTGATTTAATCCATTAATGGCCAGTGACTCCTTCATGGGACGATTCTTTTTTATAATATAAAATAAAAAGTCACTCTCTCGAATACGTGACTTTATTTTCATGTTTGCAGAACACCTAATTTCCAGTTATATCTGTGCTTTCAATAAAAATAATTGTAAACTAATTATAAAATAATTTTTATTGAAGACATAGAGATCTAGTTCTAATACTAATTATAATTAAATCTGCGATTACTAAGGCACATATCTAGTTTTAACATCGATTAGAATTCCAAAAAATTAGAAAATTAGAAAATCTGTGAATCAAACTGAATTAATTCTAATGCTAACTTAAGACCTCTATAAAATAAAAGACTGAGTCTTTGATTAAAGATGCTTGTAAAATAAGTATGGCCTCTAATGGGTTAAAGAAAAGCACAAGTGTCACAACTCGACAATTTCGCGGACAAAAAGAAACACTTACATGAAACAAAATAAATATCTTAAGGCCCTCTATTAGTAACACCTAAATTTTGACAAGAATAAGGATTAAGAGCCTATGCTGGATGTTTTCTTCCAAATGTCTATGATGAGGAGGATAATAATGTTTGTAGTGTCAAACGCACGCGCCGAAATAATTTTCCGGTCTTTACAACGTACGATGAATCAATCTTCCACTAGCAAACTTACATGAAAGTCGCCACGACATTCGTGGTGGGCCATCCGAGGACGAAGCTGGTCTCCGAAGACTTGCTGGTCTCCGCCACATCCTCTATATGACCCGCTGTGAGCCAGAGCTCGCTCATTCGAACGGTCTGCTTCAGCTTGAAGTTCCCGCCACTTCGCGACTTCGCGATCAGCAGGAGATCGGTGAAGAGGAAGAGATGCCTCTCTTGAGACTGCATGCCCTGAAAAATTTACGCGAGATCTTCAGAATTGAGCTGTGAAATTTGGGAATTGACGTTACGAGATATCTTTATTTTCACTTGATCAAAAAAAATAGAATTGTTCTTGAATTTATTATTAAAATGAATTTTATTAGATTAACGAGAACGTGCGAGAAATATTGTCTTGATAATTTTGCAAAGTAACAATCTTATTCGGCAAGTAACAACACAAGAGTATTATTCTACATACCGTGGTGAACTGAACCGGTGTTTCCAAGAGAAAGGTTCTCGACGGCGACTTCACAGGTGGACTGTTGTTCGCAAAGAGTATCGAAGAATTTAAGGACTTCTGAGATAACACTCTCGTTAATTTTCCGGGATTGCCGCCGTTCCTCTTGCGCAAATTCAAATTCTTCATCTTCTGGAAACAATAAGCACCTGGATTAGTTCAAGATACTGCGATACCTGCGGTTGGAGTTGATCAGCGGCAGCACGTCCGGTATCTTCTAATACGAGGAAAAGTATATAATACAGAAACGTATATATAAAATGCGTACAAGAAAGTGCGCGACAACATGAAAAGAGAAAGCAGCTCTCGAACGAAACGTGTACTTAGTACGAATGCTGAAATCTCGGTTCACCGTCTCTGAGATTTTGAGACTCTTCGACGTCGCAAACTGGCTCTCCCGTGGTATTTCGCAGGACCCGAAAGGACCAATTTCGCGAGTGTGTCGATGTGGCTTCTCGACATCAATTTTATACTCTACAGTCCCCGACTGGAAACTTCAGTTTCTCTTCAGTTAAATGGTCAGCCATTCAATGGTGTGCCTTCACACACCCGAATTTCGCCGTTTATACGTTCAATTTCGTCCTATTCGCCAGACACGTCATGCGTCGCGAAAGAGAATTAACAGTTACGTCCGAAAAATGTCACTACCAAATTTGGCCGGTTAAATGACAATCTGAAGGCGAGAGAGAAATAGGAAGAGACGGAGAAAGAGTACACGGGTGGTTCCCTCGATGGATAAAACGGCTGATTTACATAGGCCGGCTTATTAGATTCTTTTTAACGTGTCCCAACATCCTCTATTCTTCTTATTCTTTCACATTACGAAATCACTCCTCTGGGTGACGCCGCCGGCCGGCGGCGTATCCCACCTCCGCGTCTCATTGTATCGCGGATGGACGAGACGCGTTGTTATAATGCATAATAAACCGCGGGACTACACGTCGTGTGGTCCAAACGCGCCAGATGGATTATCCGCTATTACTTACGGCATTACATTAGAGAGTGCATCGCTCAACGCTCGTACAATCGCCAAGCTTTTCGATACACTGACACCACCGATATAGACAACACGCCGACGTTTTATTGGATAAAAATATCTACGCACTGAGAAAAGAATACTTGAAAGTTTATCTGTAGAATATAAAGTTTATTTATGTGAAATAAACTCTCTTTTATTTCAACAAGAAATTTCTAAGTATTTTTTTCAGTGCACTGCGAAAGAGAAAAAATATCTAAGAAGTAAAAAATACTTATGCGGTGAATAGTATATAATAAGATATTTACTTAAACTAATAACACTTTCTTAAGCTTACTTAAGCATATATTTGTGTACCTAGAAAGAAATTTTCCAAATATAAAAAATATATAATAATGTCAAATATTTTTTCTTAGAGAGATATAAAAATATATTATTATATAATTTCTAAAAAATGATGTTATATTTCTTAATTTTTCTTTAAAATTTCTTATAATTATCCTTAAAAATTTTTGTTAAAAATAAAATTTATTCACAGAGATAAACTTTATATTCCACAAACAAATATATATTTTCAAGTATTTATTTCTCAATATTAGGTTTTCATGAGAACAATTGTTTATTTCATCGACATTTTTTCAAAAGAATTAAGATTTAAATAAATATATTAGTACCCAGGAGATATTTCATGTCTTAGATATTTTTTTCTCTCTCAATGTAATTCTTGATTATGCTCGGATACGACTTTCAGCGTGGATATGAAGGAACGCGGAAATGAGAAATGACAAGCAATGTTATATATAAACGATAAACGGTACTCTCGCCGCGCGATAAGAATACGCCGTCTTGTAATTAGAATTTGCTGGAAGTGCTGCTCTCTCAATGTTATTGCTAATAGCAAAATAGTTTTGCTCAATAAGGAATATTATTTTTGTTATTATCATTGCTGTTTAATAGCTAATAATAATGACGTTTTCTCCAATGATATCTCTGCGAGATTTTTCTACGAAATACTTTCGCCGTTCGGCTTTGCCGTTATTATGTTAGGGAAAAATATAGCGCGCTTGCTTTCTACGTAAATAATATAAATATCGTCCTATTGTTGATGCGACCGCGTTGCCAAGCCTTGGTGACACAGTTTCTATTCCGCTTCCACTTTTTACGGGCGCAGAAAGCGAACACTGCTATTGAACGGGACGCGTCAATTTCACCGTTCGCAACAGCTGCTGTTGCTGCTGCGAGCTACGAGTGAAAATAGCGGGGAGAAATTATTGGCACGCTTGTGTCCGGATGACATGAACGTGGGAAGGAAGTGCGTATATGCCGCTGTAATGTCTGCGACACGCGAGTCGATGCACTTTCCACGGACACAGAAAAATGAGATGCGTCTAAACGACCGTGAGAAAGGTTGAATTGTGCGACGCATTGTGCGTAATGTACCGTTGTTAGCAGTCGCGGTAATGTTCATTACGCGAAAGAAGAATGGAATGTCGTGTGTACAGCAAAAATGCTTCTACTATCGCCACAATTTGCAATGAAAACTTCTAGCCGCCTCTCCTGCGAGTATCAAGAGTGAGCGGAGATAACATTTGTACAACTTGCGAACAAATACGTGTACACGCAGAGAATGGTGTGGTACAAATTGCTACAGGATTTTATAATCGAGGATTTTATAATCGAGGATTTTATAATCATAGACATATTGTTGGTACTCGATTCGGTTCAATTTAACCTGGTCTCAATAACTCAATTATTAGTCAGTATTTTTCAATGACCATCCGTAACAATTAATATTATTTCCCAAATAATCATTAATTTTCGAAAATAACAAAATTTGCAATTTCTAAAAATAAATGTTTTGAAATGAGGGCTACATTAAACCTATGATTGCAACTTGGCTGCATTTAATAATGCAAACAAATTGATCATCGAACAATTTTATTAATCGCCGTCGTTCTGCAGAATTCTTCGCAGGATGATCTCGTGATATTCGTACGTCCGTATCGTAGAAGGCGACCGATTTACACGAATTCATTTCCGTCGAAGAAGACGGAAAATCGAGCCGAACTTTTCGACCCGAGCCAACATAACGGCCAATACATAGCGGCCGAATCTCGTGGAATGTTCACATTAATGAAACATCATACCGTTGTTTGGACATCTCGCTCGTGTAATCGCAGGTTGTCACCAGGGAATAGCTCTTGGATGCGATGGAGGTCGCCCTCGAGCTGTCCCCGTTGGAGAACCTCGCCGCTACTGACGAAGTCGTTCTCGAGCAGGTTCCTCGCTTCCTGCCCCAGGAACCTTTCGTAATCGGCGAGCCTCTGGACCTGCAAATGAAATAACGCACGTTCATTAGAGAAACTCCTTGCGTCACAGGAAGAAGCGCGCGAGGGAGACAATCGGCGAGTTACGTACCGATCGCTGCCAGCGGCCAGCTCGCGAAATCGTCGTCGTCTTACGCGAGCGTGCACGGAAGAGAGAGACACGAAATCCTCCCGTCGTTCCGTGATTGCATCGGAACGACGGCGGTCCGCGTAACTACGATGATTCTCGCGCTTAATACGATGTTTCCAACGGCGAATTACGAAAGCGGGAAAGGAAGGGTCGCGACGACTTTCCCCGATATCGACGATTTACTGCGATATTACGCATGTAATATCGACGAGCGTGTAGCATCGCGCGACTGCAAACGCGGAAGCGAGAAGGAAGCGTCGGATTGGGAGCAATTTGGATGATTATCCACAGGTTTGATTTATTTTAATTATAATATCGAAACGGGGAATAAATTCTACGCCGATGTGTATACGTGTGTGTGACGCTAAAATTGAAAAGAATTAAAACTGAATTAAAATTGAAAAGACTTTGCACACATGAAGAAAAATAAAACTTATAATATTCTTTCCACGTACATTCCATGTACGGAAGCGAACTTAAATTCTTAAAATTTATCAGACCAAAGCTTATTAGTCTTTTTAATTATGTCAAGAGATATGCGTTTACATTATGTATATTACGAAATTCATAAATAGATTCGTTGAATTAACATAACGTGACACAACTAAGCACGCTTTTGTTCGCGAAGAGAACAGAATTTCTGATTTTTATGAACCAAATTCGACTCTTAATAATTAGAGAAAAATTTTGTGATAATAATAGAATAATAAAATATGATATAAGTATAAGTATAAGTATGATATATAAGTATGTCGAACTGTCGAGATGACAGCTCAGCCGAATAATTAACAGCGATAATGCACCTCGTATAATTAAAAAAAATAATAAGTTTTAATAAACGTTAAAAAGTTTTATTGGAACATGATGCACTTCCTGATGTATATCGACATCGCGGCAGCTTCTTGAAGAGACGCCGAGGGGACGTCGTCTGGCGATTTTACGAGACCCACGACGACGAAGACGACGACGGGCGCGGCGAGATCGCTCTCGAAATTTCGCCGGCGGCGGTGTTTCTTCGCGGTAATCGCGAATTAATTCAGTACGCGTTTAAGATCCATCAACGAACCCAACCAGTCACTACCCGCACCTTTCCCTGGGCGCAGTAACTACCGGCCGCGTTATGATAATTAAGGAGCGGATAGGCCATTCATAGAACGAGCGTCGTCTGGGCTCTCGTCTTGTCTCGTGTCGTTAGTTGACCAGTCAGTCAGGATAATCGAGTGTCACCGACGAATTTTGACAGATTCGATAAGACTTAAAGGTTGATTCCAGTTAACCGTCGTGAGATTGAAAGCTCGCGAAGTTGCGTGGACACTGATGAGAAATCGAGCGAAAAGAACTAATTCCCGTAATATTTAATTAATTGTAATAACCAATCCAGCACTCACTGACTAAAATTTCTCTCTAATTAAATATTTGAGAATTTTAATACAAATTCTAACAAAAAAAAAAAAGATAATAGAAAGAATTAAGTCTTACGCAAATTTTGTTGCGCGACTGCAGTTCAATTAAATAAAAATCGCGTCAGATCAACAATCAGCCGTAGAAGCATACATCTAATCATTTTTAATATGTCAAGAAGACGTCAGTGCTTAGCCGGTGAGGTAACGTAAAATGCTAATGTGCTCGGAGAAAGTCTGAGAGATCCACGAAACGGAGTATAAGGAAAGCCTCGAGACGAATTTTTGTCGGTGATTCTTCATACGACTCTCGGCTAACCGGTGATTATATCGACAAGACGATACTCTCTAAAGTACAATCAATATACTTTATATTACAAATGCTATGATATCTTGAGAATGCAAATGTTACACGAGAAAAAGATAAGGTGTACATAAACAGTTGTGAATAGTTGAGATGACTCAGCCACTTTGGTACATTAATTACATCAATTTAGTTGCGTGTGTTTTGGTTATGTCAATCACAAATTGATTGGCATTTATCTCATGGGTACATTCTGGTTGGAGCAACCAGATATCGTCACTGCTGTAACGCAAATAATTCAGCATCTACAGCAACCACATATTTGATTATTCCGTATTTTACTATTGAATCCGGTGGCGCTACTAGATTTATGTATGAGCCAACTATACCGTTATTATTTCCGTGTATAATAACCGTGGTGTTATAATAACTGTTATTACAACTGGTGATTCAGTTATAACCAGTAAAATCGCGCTGAAAGGATCAGTCAATAGTAGCGACTATTCCCACGATTAATGCACTTTGCAAACAACACGTGTGTCATTGCACGTAAAGCGCCTGGAATCTATTGATTCCATCGTTATAAACACGGAAAATTGGATTTGACGTAACGTCTGACGAATTTGTATATTACAGACCTTGCTGTGAAATTTGCAAAACTGCTGAAAATCAGTGAGAAATAAGACGGAGTCTCAAAAGTGGAGTGTTTTCACTAAAAATCAGCGAATACTCATTAATCATTGATGAAACTGCCCCTTTATTAACTCCTTTAAAGATATTTTTACCGATTCACTTTGAGAGAATACAAGTAATTATAAACGCGACGGAGAATCAAGATAATCTATCGTTCCGACACAGACATCGTCTCGATTTGTGTGCAAAGAATAGGAATTCCCTCCTTCGTGCTGGGTGCACGTCTCGTTTGCGGACACGTTAATAAGCACGTCAAAGCTTCCATGAACGTGTGTGTTCTCGCGTTAAATGCCACCAGGCAGTACTCATTATCGTCGTCGCGTTTTCTCTTTCGCGTGCGATTTCCATACGGTTCGACGGTAGAATAGTTCATCGTTATCGGTGTGTTCTCGGATTCGCGCGAGTGTGTTGTGTGCATTCGCCAGCGGAGAATTTAGCATGGTCTTCCTCGCCTCTCATCTCCCTAACCCTCTCTCTCTCTCTCTCTCTCTCTCTCTCTCTCTCTCTCTCCCTCTCTCTCTCGTTTTCTTTCGTTCCCTTTCCCATCGGCATTGTTTAAACGTGACGCGTACACATACTTTTACGCGTCATTCTTACCATGCCGGCATCGTTTCCGAGCCCCTTTTCGCACACTTTCACCGTGTCGCATCGATTATTACGTTCCTAGGAACAGTTCGACAAACTCACGGCGAACCGTAACCGATTGTTCGATGCGACGGCGCTTCGATCTGGTTTAAGAAAGAAAGTCCGAAACAACTCTTATAGAAAGAGACAATGAACAATAATGAATATTGGTCTTCACTCGGAGCCCTCAAGATCTCCTTATTTGCGTATAACATGAATTGTCTTCACGTTTGTCTAGAAAGTAAACGTTAATTCGTTACGGCTTGTGATGCGGTCGTATTCTGGATTTACAGCGTATGCTAAAAATACTCGCCCTGATTCTCAAAGTGAAACAACAACGTTATATGACTTTCGCGCAGAGAAAAAGAAATTAGAAAAAAAGATTGGTTGAGTTAACGTGACAATGACGCAACTGAAGGAGTTTTGGTTGAAAGAAACAGAATTTCTGACTCTTATTAATGAAATTCGGTTTCCAAGATGCGTTTAGTTGTATTATTGTCACGTTAATTCAACTAATCTTTTTCTTCATGTACAAGAAACACGGGACTGGCAGTCAAACGACCACATTTAATAGCAAACTCCATTGTCAATGGCAGATAGTTCACAACACTTTTATCTTGATGGACTTCAGAACACATATACGGCATCTAGTAGGAAAAGTAATCTTTTGAAAGAGTTTGGCTACACAATAAAATAAATAAAAGAAATAAAAAATACTCCTACCAGATACGAATACACTCAGAGTGAAACATCGATGCCATGCTCGAGCAATTGTTACATTCGTCAGGCGAGTATAATCATTCCTCTGACGGCGATCAATCATTTAATTAACTGTTGAAGGGACAAAGGCAATGCGCTAAATAGAGAAGAAAGAGGGAACAGGACTTACAGGCTACCACGTACACGTTTCCTCGTGCAAGGGACAGATTTGAATATCAGGGCCCGGCGGCGCGTAACAGTCTGATTCTACAAATGTGGCCATACCTGTGTCCGCCTTCGGGTATATAGACACTTAAAAGGTATATACCGTTAGCGGGACTCCGACGGCGAGACTCAACTCGACTCGACCTCGCGAGGAAGCTACCTCGGGCCCTCGCGCTTATGCGCTATTTCTCAACAGCGGGTACGTTTGCACCTCACGTGTCTGTAATATCGTGAACCCTTCAGAGCTTCCTCGCGGGATCCTGACACGCGTGTGTGCATGCGCGCGTGCATGCAACGGTAAATCGCGGAACGAAATTCCAGCGTGACGGAACGCGCGCTATTCTTCTCGAACTCGGGCTGACACACGTGAAAATCTCGCGACAACGCTCTGAAAGAAATAAGGTGACGAGACGAGTGGGCGAATCTTTAATCGCAATTAACCCTGAAATCGACACCAGGATTATAAAGTCCCCAGTCGAGGAAAGTAGGAAAAAATTCCAAAACTTCTATCTCTCAGACTTTTACGCACCTGATATCTGATAAGAAAATTTGTTTCTTCCGTAATTCTTAGAAGATAAGTTTTCCCGTTTGTACATCAGATACGTTTTGAATTCCACCGAGGTGAAAGTGTGGCAACCTTTCTTTTACTCACTGCATTATCGTAGTTGTTTATGTAATTTCACTGGGTTTTCGCTAGTTGGGTATTCAGCTACCTTCTGCAGGGAATACCAGGTCAGGTTGACCTGAAGGCCATGTTGTATTTCGCGATATATATGAAAGAAACTTGTTTTTCTCTCACTTATCATAAAAGAAACAACAGAGAGAAGTTACTCCATATTTAACACAGTGAAATTGAAACTTTTGGCTTTCAAGAAAAAATAATGCTTCTTTGAAACCTAAGTACTTTCCCCTAAAGGAACATTCTTTT